AGCCTCAAATTTAAAAATTGTGTAAATTAATAAATATTATATAAAATAGAAAGTGTGAAGTAAGAAATAATATATTAATATTATAATTTATTAGCACATAAAAATGTAAAATAGCAATATTCTAACTAAATAAACATAATAAATTGTTTTAAATTAAAAGCACCATGTTAATATCCTAATATTAAATTATGAAATAAGACGGATTATACAAACATTAAGCTATCAAAAAAAATAAAAATATTAGAAGAAAATATTAAAACATCGAAACATAACAATCAAAATAAAGTAAACATTATTTTTTCCTTCTCACGCATAGTACCTCCACTTAAACAAGAATATATCAAGTCGCCAACATTTGAATTTTTAATTTAAAGTCTCTATTACTCTCATCACCAAATTGATTTTCATTAGAATCATTGGCATAATGAATTGTTTATCTCGCACATTATCCTTAGTCGTAATATTATCTCATTCCTTATTATTTATAATCTCAATAATTTTCTATTTTTTAATGAATAATCATCAATAAAATATATTAATTAAAATAATAACTATTTTGATGATTAGAATTCCAACTACATAAATTTTAACAGATAAATTTTTCTTTTAATTATTGTTGTTTAGTATGTGAGGTGCGAATGTTAATAGAAGAGGTATATTGATATTACTTTTAGCTTTGTTTTTATGGACAAAAGCAAACATTTGAGGCTTTTGTTGAGGTGGGGCATGCCTTGAGACACACCTCATATTGTGCAATTTTAAACTAGGCATACAATGAAAAGATTTTATGAATTTGAGTCCATGGACACCGAGTTGAATTTGATAGCAAGAGAAGAGGACAAAGTACAGAACTATGAAGTATAAAGAAAGGTCTGGGTGATCATTATCTTTTCCAATGTTCTACAGAATATGTATCCTCTATTATTGATTTTCCTACATGCCTTGCTTCACCCAAAAACAGAAGTTAGCCAAGTTTTCGACATATATGAACTTTTTGAATGAATAGTCATAATAAAAAGCATCCCTGCAATCCTTCTTTCCAGTCAATAAAAATCCCACCAGGATTTCAGACGAAAGCAAATGATTCTGGTATCATATACTATTTCATGAACTATAGCATATCTGAAGTATGTATTGGTTACATGATTTATTTTATTGCAAGCTATCAGTAATAGCGAGTTAAGAAGAAATGAGAATAAAACCAAAAGAGCAACAGGGATACCCGGCATTTGACGAAAGCATCATAACAAGATCTCCTTCTCTAACACCAACAGAACCTAAGCGATCCGAGTTACGAATCTCCTTCCCGTTGAAATGGAGCTGTTGCTGATGTAAAGCGACACTAGTCTGCAATCGAAATTTTCAACTGAAGCGAAATCCTCAAAAATTATCACAAAAATTAAAGCTTTCCATGAGAGGAGAACTTTTCTAACTGCCCACCTCCACCTCAAGAAGCGCCTTCACATTCTCAACCTGCATGCCATAAGTATTCAGCCATTGTCATAAAGATGGAGATTAACAGAGTCAATAACTTAGGGTTTCTATGGATTCTTACAGATTCATCTTGGTCGACGTCGAGGGTGATGAATTGTTCATCTGCAGTCATGACAGTAATCTTCATCTTAATCGCCTCCTTGAAACGAAAAGCGGAAACCGGTTTTTGTTGATTATTATAGTAACAGTTTATGGACTCCCGTTGGATTCCTTGGGAAGGGGGAAGGGGGAAGGGGGAAGGACGCTAGGACTACCTAGTTAGATCTTCACGGTCAACCTACTGTCAATTAATTATTTTTACGAAGGGTTTATTTTGTCCAGCTTTTCAAACTAACATTTATAGTTAAATTTAATTTTGATTTGAAA